GGGAAACCTAAAATTTTTCGAATTCAAAACGTGATGGAGAGAGGCATCAGAAAACTTCTCACTTTCGTAATAGGTTAAAATGCATCTAAACTTTTCGGAAAAATAATACTGAAGCCCTTGTAATTTCGAAAAGACTCAACTTCTCCTAGGATGACCAAACAGATACCAATTTTATAATGCTGCTTAGAATGTATCTCTAGAGAGCTAAAAGTACTCTGAAAAGCCTAAAAAGTGTTTTCAATGAATTAAGGAGGAAACCGTCGTTGGCTGCCCCTGGGTATGGTTTGTTTGTATCAGCGCAATTTTATTCCACAACATATCGTTTCGAATTGAATGTTGCAAACAGGACTCTACAGATCCACACATATTTTAGACTGCTTAAATAAATTCGCCTGCTGCCTGCTGATATCAGAAATGTTGGTTCCTTAAATAGTTTTAAGAAATCAATCAAGACCTTTCTTTTGGACGAATCACTTTAAATTTTATTTATTTATTTATTTATTTATTTATTTACTTTTTCTCCTTTCAATATTGTATTTAATTTTGTATGAAATTTTTGTAAAGCGCTTTTGATCACATCTGGAAAGAGCGCTATAGAAATTTTTAATTTATTATTATTTATTATTATTAGCCCTCGGCTCTCTAAAAGAGGAAAGGACAAACTTCCACACCGCGCTCCTGATCTGGCCGCCGTTGAGATTAGGTTGGCCAGCTGCTGTAGCTTTTAAAGTGAAAAGCTGAGCTTGTTTGGTACAAAAGAATTCACGGTGGCTACCTTTTAAGAAGTACGACAATTCAAGTGTGAAGCCTTAAAACTGCGAATCACTTGCAGATGTTTTCTATGTCCGATAAAACTGTGGAAACATCTAATTTAAATGACCTTGATATGGCACAAATAAGCCAAACACTGAATAATTACAAGTCCTTTAAAAATCATTTAGACTTCGAGTTACCTCTGTTTTGTAATTTTGTTGCGGCAAGTTGAAAGGAGATATAAGAACCGCACCCGCGAATGACGAAAAATTCAAGAACAAAATCTGCCGGCCTTAGCTGATTTACCGGCAAGACGAGCCGCGAGATCGAGCGCGGAAAATGAAAAAGCGAAATACAGAGTGAAAGAAAGAAGACGCGCAACTGCTTAACCCCTGCCAACCAGAGATCAGACCAAATTTTAGCAGCTTTCATTAATCTACGCGCTGCACCACATTTCAGTTTTAAAGTCAAATTCAACCGTTACCCTGCGCCAGGGGTCCGTTACTCAAAACATTTCTAATGTGATTGCTGTGTTTGTTGACTTCCACCATTTATTTAAGACTCACATCACTCATCATGTTAAGAAAGGAAAAGTTCTTTGCTTGATTTTTCTGAGATTTTATTCTTGGCCCAGGACGCGGCCAACCAGTCGAACCTGCCTTTGTCGGACCATCTCATTCTTACAGAGTCACTACTGACATATATTTAATATACAGTACCCTCTGCCATCCATTTATATCAACTCAGTCAAAATAACAACAAGACAGCCTCAGTTCCTTTACAAACTAACCCTTTCCTCTGAGCTTTTATTGTACTGTTAAAAAAAAAACAATAACAGCCCTTGCTTAAGGACCCAAATATAGTTTCGCGTTAATTTCCACATTAGGAACTTTAAGATCCAACGACGCGGACGGTAACGAGAACGTCAAAAAACCAATAGGTTTGATTAGCAAAACAACAACTTTGCAAGTGCACCCGCTTTTGCACGACTACGACGTGAACATGTCTAATTTCGTGTTTTATGGAGGACGTAAACGAGCAACGATGAAACTTTATTTCTCTTACTGTACTTTGATATGGTGCCTAGGAATTCAACTCCAGGAGGGTTCGTCTACATTTGACAAAGTAAGTGGGTAGGAATAATTGCGATATAGACTGAAAGAACGCAAATTCACTTTTACACTTTTTAAGGGACGTTCTCATTACTGTCGCGTCGTTGGATCTTAAAGTCCCTATTGTCTTGACTTTGGAGCCGTGAGTGCAACACAAGCCGTGAACCCTTGACATTTTTGAAATAAATTTCACCAAACTATAGAACTGTTCTCAAGCGAGATATGAGCTGCAGTACACGATCGCATCCGACAGAGTCTGCCCAGGCTTGGTTTGTTCAGTGAGTTGTGCAACGAAAGTCATTAAAGCACTATGGAATTTTCTCTTAATATTCTAAAATCTTACGCGTATTGAGCTATCTGAAGAGGAGGTTTACCATGGTTGCAGACCTCTTACCACGACGTAGAGCAAACACCTACTTATGTGCATGATGTGCAAAGAACTAAACAAAGATATTTCTCGCAATAGTAATTACCATTTATCGGCATGTTTACTATACTTTTGTTCGGTTAGTGAAAATTATTTTAAAATTAAGCTAATTTCCCCTTTGAATGAGAAGAATAAGGCACCTGAATCAACTTTTTCCAGAGGTACGCAACATTTCTCAATCCACCCTATCCGTCTCTGAACGCACTGTAAAGTGGCGTTTTCTCTCAGTATGGTGAGCTAACTTCGATCGGGGGAGCGTCACATGTTAGCGAGTGGCAAAATGAAGGGGAAATTGCTGCGTTTTGTTCTAAACATTATTTGACTGCAGTCAAAGGTGAGTTGCGTCTGCGATTTTCATCGCTTATTTACCTTCTGTTAATTTGTTTTGCTTTGTTTTACGATTTTGATTATGTGTTAATAAATCTTCGATATTTTTCAGGCTGTGCACGCACGTGGGTAGTACTACTTCCCCTTTGAAAGCATATTCAACTTGGAATGAAAAAACTTTACTGAAGCTATAAATGAATAGGTAAATAAAATCAACTTATCGTAAAAGATCTACCATCACAACATAAACAATATTTAGAATTAATTACTTTTTGCAAATACAGATTAAAAACAATAGTCGGCATATATATTGATATATTAAAGGTTGCCGTTTAAAGGTATCCGACGTGCGGCATGCTTTTATAGCGCTTTCATCAAAACATTTGTTGTTTGCGCGGCAAATTTAAACCGTTGATGAAAACTTCAGACGTTCAGATCGTTTTTTGCTTACTAAACAACACGTTTCGAACCAAGTGTAAGTAAAATGGAAGGCTGTTTTTGGTGGAAAGAAATGGATTTCAAAAACACATTATTGACCGTGAAAACACCAGAAAGCCAGGAGCAGGATCAACACTTAAAAGAAAGCAGTCACCCTTCTCCTGATTCAAGCGACTTCTGCAGGATTTCTGATCAAAAACCTTCCGTACCAGCAATCTGTGGAGTAACGAAAGGTATGACAAGTTTTGTTCCTTGTTTTAATTTCACCTGTTAAAATGAGAGGTGATTCAACACCCGAAGAATTGTGTTTATTAGCAGACATTAGTAGATTATTTTCACCTGTCAACTTTATCTCGAGACACGGATTTGGCCAGCGCAATAATTTTATAATCACCACAGTAGGATAACAGGTTATCGGTAGCTTCTCAAAAATTTTATTTGTTTAGTCTTTTTATGAAACTTTCTGCAAAACATAACTGAGTTAAATATCTTCGACTTGAATTAACCGTCACTCAAGTGAACAAAATAGCAGCCTGATAACGTAAATCGTTTCCAAGCCAGTTCTACGAACCTTGTCTTGCTAGTTTAAATTATCTCGGGATGCTGGAAACGCAATTGCACTCCTGAAGTTTCGAACTTGAGAAATTCTATGTCGCACATTAAAACTAACAACGCAACGGCTCTTTTAGGAGCCATCAAGTTTAATATGTTATGGCTGATACAAAGTTAAGCTTATGTATCTNGGTATCCGACGTGCGGCATGCTTTTATAGCGCTTTCATCAAAACATTTGTTGTTTGCGCGGCAAATTTAAACCGTTGATGAAAACTTCAGACGTTCAGATCGTTTTTTGCTTTCTAAACAACACGTTTCGAACCAAGTGTAAGTAAAATGGAAGGCTGTTTTTGGTGGAAAGAAATGGATTTCAAAAACACATTATTGACCGTGAAAACACCAGAAAGCCAGGAGCAGGATCAACACTTAAAAGAAAGCAGTCACCCTTCTCCTGATTCAAGCGACTTCTGCAGGATTTCTGATCAAAAACCTTCCGTACCAGCAATCTGTGGAGTAACGAAAGGTATGACGAGTTTTGTTCCTTGTTTTAATTTCACCTGTTAAAATGAGAGGTGATTCAACACCCGAAGAATTGTGTTTATTAGCAGACATTAGTAGATTATTTTCACCTGTCAACTTTATCTCGAGACACGGATTTGGCCAGCGCAATAATTTTATAATCACGACAGTAGGATAACAGGTTATCGGTAGCTTCTCAAAAATTTTATTTGTTTAGTCTTTTTATGAAACTTTCTGCAAAACATAACTGAGTTAAATATCTTCGACTTGAATTAACCGTCACTCAAGTGAACAAAATAGCAGCCTGATAACGTAAATCGTTTCCAAGCCAGTTCTACGAACCTTGTCTTGCTAGTTTAAATTATCTCGGGATGCTGGAAACGCAATTGCACTCCTGAAGTTTCGAACTTGAGAAATTCTATGTCGCACATTAAAACTAACAACGCAACGGCTCTTTTAGGAGCCATCAAGTTTAATATGTTATGGCTGATACAAAGTTAAGCTTATGTATCTTTATAATAACATCGCTAAAACCAATTTTTTTCTGAACAATTTCTTAATTGATGCCAGAAGAATCTGCTGCAAAACGACTTCGATATGCAGCGAAATGACTTTGTAGCGAAACGACCGGTCTGCCAACCACGTGTATGCATTAACAGGTGTCTCGTAATATCGCTACAAAGTTACAGTAAACTGTGATCTATAATTTCTTGCTCTATTAATGAATTAGGTTAAAATATTCCACAGCTATTTTTACGTGTTCAAATGGGGAATGAAGTGAGCTAATATGTTATCGCATACATCAATTTTGGAAAAAAACGGAGGCGAATCAACTAAACAGGAGTGCAGCGAACTGACCTAAACCTTCCTAAATTATTGGTATCAATTGTGCGATACATTTCTCCGCCGGGTTTACTAAACGTTTTTGTACTTTTTTTTAATTATTCAGAAGCAGATCTGAAGGAAAGTTCTAACAAGGTTAAATCCAACAAATCCCGATCGTCTTTCTCAGTGGAACAGGTGTTGCACCTGGAGAGAGTGTTTGACCGTCAGAAATATCTGGGCTCCAGAGACAGACAAAAAATTGCAGAGCAACTACAAATGACTGAAGCACAGGTAATACAGTGGCATCAATAACGTAAGGGGAGGGGAGGGGGAGGGGAACGAGGGACCACAATCACAATCAGACAGTTTTAGTCATCGAATTTCGGGGATGACTGGGGGGATGTGTGAGCTACAGACTAAAGAGAAATGATTCCTAGGCAGATTCTTCAAATGACGGACAGCCTAGACATGGATAACGGATTTGCTCTAAGCGTCGAATCAAGTCAAGTCAATTTTTATTTAAACTCACACAGAATAATGATTAATACAAATTAGTGCTTTAAAATATAAAATCGTGTGATTGTGAAGGAAAAGAAATTTTCAATTGTAGGTTCATTGAGCAGAGTTTGGGACACCTAAATAGTTCGTGGAACTAAGCGAGTAGGGAGCTCATGAGATAACTCAGTTTAAGTTACTTAGAACACTGATCTCCATCATGTTCTTGTTCTACTTCTGCAGGTGAAAACTTGGTTCCAAAACAGAAGAATGAAACAAAAGAGGAAGCGATCGGAAGACGCTGAGAGAAGAGCCAAATTTGCCTTCATCAACAGTTTAGCTTGGCCCCTGAACAATGGTTACCATGGTTACCAACCATCCTACGACTGTCATTCTCCTACGTATCCCGACACACCTCTCGTGCTGAGGTCAGAGCTTCACCCAAAGTACGCATGCCCGCCGGCCTCGCCTTGGAGTGGTCTGCCTCCCTACTCGCCACCACCACCACCACCGCCATATTGGGCAAGATACCCAGGAACATACTGAACTCGTGATCTAGCTTCTCTGAGAAAACAGTCTGAACTTTGAGCTTTCTGGGTGTCGTAGTGGAAGAATTGTACTAGTTAAGCACGAATGCTACAATTTTAAGAAATAATTAGACTTTCATTTTCCCGTGAAATTAAAACCTTTGATTTGGAAACCAATCCTGCCGTATGCTTCGCGAGTGTCAGTATATAGCTGTAAGAAATTTTGGTACGAAGTTTTTCTTTTATTAGCTGTAAATAAGTTTTTCCGTTTTCTTTGAGCATGAAAACCATCAAGGTTATTAGAGTTCGACTTCAGCGTATTGTGATTGTCTTTTTTTGGCATCAGTGTACTGTGCACTTTCGATTTCGTCTCAGAAATAGCGTACGTGTAAAAGTAACATATTATGAAAAATATTTGTGCTCAAGTATGGAATCTTTGGAAATATTTTCATGCGCTTTTAAACTTCAATACGTATATTTGTTCACAATGTAAGCAAACCAGTTGTACTCCTTGTACAATACGTTAGTTTGTGAAAATAAACTATTTTTTTTGCATAACAACCCTCGTGTTTAGCTGCAGATTTGAGAAGTCCTCTGTTTACAAGATAAAACTGTACCCCGTACACAAAACCGTGCCATTTTGAAAAGGGAGACGAACTCAGTCTGCCGCGCAAATTTACATATTTCATGCTTTTTATTAGAAATTTTCCTGAGCAGAAATTATCTTCACTGATCATTTCATCACACTGAAGTTAGTACACCTGCTGGCTTTTGTAGAAATCGGCCTTAAGCTTTCACTAATGTCCCAAGAAATGTTTGTCAGGGGGCAATATCATGCGCTATAGACTACTACCCGTTCCAGTCTACCGGCAGACCGATTTCACTCCGAAAAGAGGGGTCGTTTCGCGTTTCAATGATACTGCTGCGAAATTTCGTACCGGAGTGAAATTCTCGCTCCGGTACAACAACCGGGTGAACTCACGCCGGTGTGACTCGCGCCGGTGTGACATTTTGCGGTGGTATCATGTAAACAAATACAGAGCCACTAGAGGGAACCGGAGTGCACTCGCGCCGGCGCGAAACGCCCCGGTGTTATGTCAGTGTTGTGGTTCAGTTTTAACCTTGGTTTACATTTATTTTCCTTTGTATCTAACTCATTATCATACATTACCATACCCCAAAAAAGAGGAAAATAAAATTTAAACCAAGGAGAAAACAACATAACACAAATACTCCCCTCTGTTCCCACAGACTGGTACATGGTTAATAGGAACGCGAGAAAGGCTTGTTTTGCGTGACATTGATACACAGGTTTATCACACGCCCAACCCGCAATATATTAACTAGACCAGTTGACTTGGTCACCAACATGATTAGGGGACAGATGGTCCTGTAAATAACGGGTTGAGCAGAACATCCAGATCTCTTCTGTGTTCTCTTGTTTCCCACTGGCATGGACTGGAGGCTACATTCACACCATACCGGATGGGGCTTCTTGTTCTGCTTCTCATAGGGGAGGGGAGGGAGCGGCTTTACACAGGCTATGGACAAAGCAAGTTCGTACAGTGTGCAGAGCTCTAAGCCAAGTTTACCCAAAGGCACAAAAACAACAACAACAACAACAACAACAACAGAAGATTTCAAACATAAACTGTGAACTTTTAAAAGGTCGGGCTGTCGATAATTCACCACTACTTTATGATCGATTACCGTTAACACACATAGCACCTTATCAGTAAAATATGAACAGGTATTGTTGACAAGGATTTCTTAATGACTGTATTAAATGTTATCTCAAACTTCTCTTTAGAAATTCTATTCTCCAAAAATAAATTAAGTAAGTTTTTGATTATCATCATAATATCTGATCCCCAAGTGACTATATATCTATTATAAATGCTTTTCCTTCCTAACTAAATTGAAAATTGTCTCATAATAAATCTAGGGAACAGGCACTTTTGAAACGTACAGTCTCGCAGCACAAGCGATCACGAAGTGACCTTCGCGTGACCTTGACCTTTCGAACAAGCGCACGCACCTGTCAAAAGTAGACTGAGTGCTGGCAGCACTCAGTCTACTATTGACTTGGAATTACTGCAAGTTCTTCTTCCCAAACTTCCTTTGCATCATACATTGGTTTTTCCTTAGCAGTTCAAATGATAAGAAAAATTTTCTTCTCGACGCGAGGTTGCTGTGTCACAATGCAAGTGCGTGATTGAATTCCTATACTAAGCGTCACGTGATCAGAATCTTGGTAGCATATTATCCTCAGGTGTTGGGCTGTGCCTCGGTGTGGTGTGCGCACTACCAGGGGGGGAGGTCAGGTTTTTGCAGCAGTAGTAATGAAGGATTTCTCCAGACGGGTAATAAGCAAATGCGCTTAGGAAAATAAAAAATAAACGTTATTAAACAACGGAAATTTCTTCAAAAATCAGTTCAAACAGCAAACATGGTTTTACGTAACTCTAAGCACTATAAACATAACCTTGCACAGGGTAAAAAGCAACCGGAAGCCACTTTTTAGTGCTCTAGACGCCACAAAACGCAGAGGAACGCAAATTACGTCCGGTTGCCGCCGAGCAGATTGTAAGTGAACTTAAAAAACCGGAAACACGACATAAAATTGCAACATTAACTAACATTTTTTCTACTCAGTTGAAGCCTGGGGCCGTGATGTGTTTGAAGTTACGCCATGGGCATCCCTATGTTCTCAAAAGCTTTGGAACCACACATATTAGAGGAGGAAGAAACTTGGTTTGGGCAAATTTTTTTCCACGGCCTACTTTTGTACTTTTTTGTGTGTAAATATGGGACTATCACGATACGAGGATTTTTCCCTGAAAAATCACCCGACTCAGTCCACCTCACTATTCAAATGGTCGGCCCCTAGCATAAGGTCCCTAAAATTCTCGGCATTTAAACTACGATAACAGACAAGGACAAGTAATATTGGATAACTTACCTGTTTCCAATTTTTTTATGGCAGACTTGGCACGCTCTTTCATCTGTTAACAGGATTTTACGAGCCTGATGGTACATGCGCTGTTGTTGAACCTGACAAAAAGTTGGACAGCGTAAGAACCTCTATTTCCGCTAAGTTTCTAACACAGACTTAGCTTAAGATACATATAAACAGATCATAAGGACATATGCAAATTTGTAATTACCATAGGGCCGGATGGGACTAGGCGGAGACACTTTAGCAGCCCCTCGCTTTGCAAGCCCATCAAATATTCCATCCGGACAAATGGCATCTGACTTAAGTTCATTGTAGCCTGTGTAGCGAGCGTTTCTCTTTCCTACTTTCTCAACAAACTTGAGCAAAAAGGCAGACTACCCAGGTATATACATTCTAGGACTTTCACTGGTACATCTCATCAAATAGTTGATACAATATCCCATTTGACCAAATCAAGTAAAACATAAAACAGCTGGACGGGCGGGTCAGGTAATTACAGGGACTTTCCAGACAAAGCTCAAAAACTAAATACACATGCACTTTATAATGCTGAGTGTCAATGAATTTGGCAAAACGTACTAATTGAGGACACAATTTTTACGTCTCGTACTGGAGACGGGACCGCCATTTTATGGAGTTATCCGAGCCACGCGAAGCTCTAGCCGTTTGAAGAACAAAGAAAGTACCTTCATTTCTAAGGCCGTAAGACCCTGAGTATTGGTCCGGCCCCGGGAATCGAAGGGCGCTTTCCATTTGTTAGAACTGGCCCGCCGGACCAGTCAGAAAGCAAATGAAATCGGCTATTTCCACAGGGTTTTTGCTGAAAAATGTTCTCCTTCATGCATACTATTTAGGATTTGACTGATCTGGCAGGATAGTTGTTATTAAAAGTGAAATTATCATTTCGACGGGAATGGTCTGGCCGGTCAGTTCTGACAAATGGAAAGCGCCCGAACCCACGGCCTCTCGCGGCGCAGTCAAGCGTTCTACCGACTGAGCTACCGCGGTTTTATCTGTCAGTCTCTCCTGGGAGGCCACATAAAGCAATCATATTTACCTGTAAATGTTCTGCAAACAAAAGACTTTTCAGTACTTGACAATTTTTGCGTTTCTTCTCCTTATCCTCCAAAACACTCGACAAAAATGTATACACTTCACGCACCTCAATGGAAGAGGGAAGTAACTCGAGCGCCTGTAGACACAAAAAACAAAAAAAACACTCTAAAGGTGAGTCATTTAAGGTCTAAGCTACAAGGATATTGCTGTTTGAAGTCAACTCTGTGCTAACGTCGATACTTTGCGCCTTTACCCAGACACAAAATGCTCTTTTTTCAGGTATGAAGAAGAAGATATCAAACTAATTTCATCCAGAAGAACAAACGGAAAGAGGCTTTTGCTGACTTTTGAAAGCATAGCATTAAACCTTATAATTTTTTCAAGTTTTAATCCATGTCCATCCTTGCCATCCGGAGCAACAGACGACGGAATACAGTTATAATGCCTGAATATAGTCAACAACAAAACTGGACCATCACTTTTGGAATTCAATCCACGCGAAGACATGCTTTAGTTTGTTAAAAATAACGCAAGTAGCGGGACATAGCCTCGCAATTTTTTTTGTCCAGAGAGCCAACTAAAAATTGTAGTGCCGTGGTATACGTGTACAGGGTAGGGCAGTCAATCTCCTGCACGAGGCTAAAGCGCTTGTGATGTGAGAAGAATCCGCTGGGAAACTAGCCTTTTGACTTGGCGTCTATTCTCACTTCTCACATCGGCAACCCCGTCTAAGTTCTATGGATTGAAGAGGCGCAACAGAGCTAAAGATAGTTTCTAAAAACATGCCCATTGCATTGTTGTTCATATGGGCGAATCCTTGTTTACACTTTTTGCCTCATTAACCATTATGCTTATCACTATGTGATGACGCTAATAAAATAAAAACTCTGAATATTGAAAGGACATAACAGTTTAAGTTATCTGTGAAAATTTGAGCCCAATACACCGAATGGCTTCGGAGAAATTCTCTTCTAAAAACTCGAAATTTTACACAGAATGTATGGCTCATTAACTTTTTGCCACCTAGCAATTTCGCAGTTTTTGATGGCTGATGTTTCCTTCATTGTTGCTTGCAAAGAGCTGAAAATTGCACAAATTGCTCAACTTAATCAGCTCTTTCAACTTTTGCCTTTAGTTCATATATACGGCCACGGCTTCTATGAGTTAAGTGGTATGCTAATGAGGAAAAATGTAAACAATGACGTCAGCAAAGATTCGCCCATAGGGTGTCAGTAAATCATACAACGACCACCCAAAAAGTTCTCGTTAAACTGCACAACTTCGTACGACATCGGTTGAGACCACAGTCGGCCCAAGTCACTTATAGCATTAGCCTGCGAGCAAGCTCTCATTACTAGTGGCTAGCGAAGTAGGCCGCGAGAGAACGCGCGAACGAGCGGCAAAAACGCGTCTTCTTTCCCGTGCCGCTCGCGCGTGACTTCTCACAACATCCCCAAATGGAGAACTTGTTCACAGCAACAATAGGGAGTTTACGATCCAACGAACGGACGGACGGCAACGAGAATGTAAAAAAACCCAATTGGTTTAATAAGCAAAATAACAACTTCGCACGTGCATCACGCTTTTTTTGTACATTTCTTTCCTGTTTTTGCATGACTACGACGTGAAAATGCCAAATTTTGTGGTTTATGGAGGACGTAAACAAGCAACGACGAAATTTTATTTCTCTATTTGAGCTTGGCTATGGTCCCTTGAAATTCAGCTTCTGAAGGGTTCGCCTACATTTGACAAAGTAAGTGCGTAGGAATAATCGCTATAAAGACTGAAAGAACGCACATTCACTTTTTAAGCGACGTTCTCGTTGCCGTCCGCGTTGTTGAATCTTAAAGTTCCTAATAGCATCATTCGTCACATACCTTAGCAGTTGAAATCTTCTGGTGATGTTCTTGAAGCACATTGAGCGCCACTGTAATGCTCGGTTTTACTTCCTTGCTGTTGATCTTAGGAGGCTCCAAGTACATGCGCAGTAGTGACACGTACACCTACCAATCAGAGATCAATTTGATAAAACTTTTACAAGTACAATTTACAAGTGAAGTCATTGTCCTACAGTCTGAAAACAATACCTACACTTATGGATGACACTTGTAAAAGTTTTATTAAATTGACCACACGCGAACGATGTTTTTTCAAGTTTGAGAAAAATGATACTTCCAATCGGAATTTCCACCTTTCACAGTTCGTGCAGCTTGACGCACCCTCGCTTTACGAGTTGCTCTACAGATATTCATCGAGAAAAGACCAGAAAGTGGAGTTTTTCTTGTAGAAAACTGAAAACATCTCGGACATTGGAGTGGTACAGTTTCGTACGTTTCACTGTCGATAAAGACAACTGTAGAGGGCCGATTAAAAAAAACCGCGGAAGGGGAACAAAACAGAACGAGACGTAAGCTTAAGTTGTACTTTTTATCGGAGATATTTTTGTCTTGTCTTATTTTACTCAAATTCATTCATTTTCAATTGTACATTCCGAACACTATTCTTCGTTTTCTTTGTCATTTCGTAGTGTGTAGCGGCGTATTTTGGCATTTTAGGATTTCGGAAAGACAATAAATAAAAGGATGGAAAAATGATAAATGTCTCAGTATGTATGTACTTAACACAATACCATATGGAAAGTGCTTTGTACCGTGTTTACACAAAACCCACGCGTAAATACCGTACGCCCGAACTTTCCATGAACTATATAGGAGTTATAATGAGAAGAAATAGTTTTGCCTTTTGGACCTTCAGTGTAAATCTAATCGTGGAACGAATGAAATGTGATCTGTTTGGTAGTAGTTCTTCATACTGCTATTTTATTTTATAATAAAATATGATACTTGAAAATGTTGTGAAATTTCTTTTTGGTCACTAATTAAGCGGGAAGACGTTAAGGGGGTTTTAGCTTTTGCAGGAATAACAAATATTTACTAACAAAAGTTTTACAAGTATCAAGTGATCACAAATCACTTACATCTTTACTTCCTTCTTTGCCTTCATTATAGTTTCGATGACAGTATCTGGAATACGAAATAACACTGCTACTTTCAGAAATAAAACTAAAAAGTGTTTGGTCATCTGCAGGACTTCGCACATGTATTTCACTTGCATACTGGCTTCAGTAGAATAGGTCTGAATTACTCCTATTTCTTCTCTGTATTCTTATTCCACAATGAACAGGTCAAAATGTCCTAACGGCACAAAATGTCGTTGCATCTAGTAGAATACTTACTCTTCTGCTAGCTTAGCATCGTGTAAAACGTGAATATAAATGGCTAATGCTTCCTCGTGTCTTCCTACTCGACCCAGGAGAAGCGCTCGTTCATGATAGAAGGCTGCAAGAAAATACTAGAGTCCATAACACGAAATCTTTCAACGCTAAATGGGACAATACTGTTTCTTTCTAGCCTTGGTTATGTCATTTCTCAAATGCATGTAGACAAAACTAAATATACAACTGAGTAGTCACCGGTCCCCTTACTTTAAGTGAAGATCACCTCACAAACCGTTGCAAAAGTATTACTCAAGAACACAGTTATCCATAAGGAAAATACTGCTCTTTTGCAAAAAAAAAAAAAAAATGAGAAGTTTCTTCCACATCATAGTAAACAGTACAAGAATAGATACACATTTAATGATAAAGAATTTCATCCATAGTCATAGTCACTTCACAAGACTCGATGTCTAAGACCGGACAGCCTGTGTACAGGCACATCCTCCTCTCAAACAGAGAAGGGAGAGGCTGTAAGCCGTCTAAGACCAGATAAGGCAACTTAAGATTAAAGGGGCTGTGTCACGGCAGACCAGTTCATTTTGTTTAATTTTGCCAATTACTCGCCCTCAATCGCTATGGAACTTATAGTAAGCAAAGAAATTGCAGGTAAATGAAAAATCAGAGATCCGAGACAAATAAATATGTCCCCTGAGCATTATTTTTGAAGTTGCAAGCAGCAGGGATCAACTTTGAAAAACTGTTAGGCTGAACAGTTTTCAAAAACCTAATTTCAATCCGTTTCAGTCTCCTTCAGTTTTGCTCATCCGTGGTATCTGCTGTTTCGGTTAAGTTAATTTGACCTTTCTTTAAGTTTTAAGCGGTTATTTTTATGTTCCTCTTAATTTAACGCGCATTTTGTAATTTCCTAATTTGGCTGAATTTGTGACAAAGCTCCTTTAAGTGCGCAGTTCTGAAACCGATTTTTGTGTCCCCAAGAAACCTATCGAGTCGTGTTGTCCTTGTGTTTCCTGTTCACACAAGGCTATCTCCAGCCGTGACACCAACCCAAAAAATACTTAAGAACAAAGAGGATGAGCGAGCTTCGTTATACACCAATCACTGGCAACCACGGTGGTACAAACAGCCCTACTCAGTAAATCGACAATATCACCTGACGACCTACAGAACGCGGTCAAAACGTCGCGATCATTATCTTGGTGACAATCGTGAGACAAACGATAAACAAAACCCTTTATACACATTAACCACGATAAACAACATTTTGACAAAGATAATTTTACAACAACGCCCGACCTGATTCCGGACTCTGTTATCAAACTGGTAACAATGATCAACGAAATAGTTAACCTACTCTCAGGGAAGTGTGTAAGTAGATGCTGAGCTTGGTAGTGTTTTGATGTTTCCAGGAGGAAAAGAAGTCTTCCTCTTAATTCACCCAGTTCACCTGGTTCACTGCCAGGAGGAAACGGCTCGTCACCTGAAAACAAGTAAAACTCTTATTGTTAATGATATATGAAATAAATCATATATGAACTGCGGAAATGAAATGGAAATGAAGAAATGATCGTCGCAGTGAACGTATCTATGCAATTGAGTAAAGAAGCCTGAAAAAAAAAATTCTGGACTTCAACGGGGTTTGAACCCGTGACCTCGCGACACCGGTGCGATGCTCTACCAACTGAAATATGAAGCCACTGACTCATTTCTTTCACGGGAACATATGAACCCACAATTGACCTGCTCCCAACGCCAGTGGCTTCATAGCTCAGTTGGTAGAGCATCGCACCGGTATCGCGAGGTCACGGGTTCAAACCCCGTTGAAGTACTGAATCTTTTTCACGCTTCTTTACGCAATTGCATAAATTGCGTTCACTGCGACGATCATTTCTTCATTTCCAAAACTCTTATTTACGCCAAGAAACAAACTTGAGATTCTGATTAAGGTTCCGGGTACCTACCCCTCCCCTAACCCAACAGTTTGCTATTAGCGAGAAGTTAGTGCCAACGTTAGGTTACGGGAGGAAGTTTCCGAAAATTGTAAACTGATCCACAAACTTGGCATTTGTTCTGTGTACACACTGGAACCTCCTCTTATGCTTACAGACAGTTGACTTGGGTCCCAAACATCACGCTAATTCATGAACTATAAACAGGACACTTCTGTAATGCGGACATTTGGCACTGTTCCTTTAGTGCCCGTATTAAGGAAGTTTCACTTCACGGAGCATTTAATAACCCCATCAAGTATTAAACACCCTTCTACTTTCTTGACCGGTGACTTGGTACAGGATAGATCGGATTCCTGAATGGTGCGGAAATTTAGAGGGTAGGTGATTGCTGATTTTGGAGCAAACCATTAACTGATATAGCTCAGATTGACTAAGCAACGAAAGCACACTTTCCTCAAAAGAAATCTGACGCTGTCTCTTCAGTCAAAAACACTTTCGTGTACAATTATGCAAATGAAGTAAGCCCTTTGATATATTCGGAAATTTCACGTTTGTACTCGGTGCATGAAACGCTCGAAAATGTGACGACTTGTGTTCACCTTACTAGTTGGCTTGACAAACCAAAACATGTCATTTTGGCGGGAAAACGTGATAGCCGTCGTCATTCTACAACGGGTTTTAGCGAGAATGTCGTAGTGACGGGAACAAGTTATCAAATCTAAGACGTTTTATCATTTTGCTATCGGGAGAGGGCTTAACCTCCTTCAGTATAAATAACCCTACTAACTTTTTTGGTGAAAAAAAGTAAAATGAAGCTTTTGGAGTGCCTTTTTTTTTAGAACGCGCAAACTTTAAGTTGACTCTCGTACTTGTACTTGTTCTCCTCCTCAAATCTCTATTAATACAGTGATACAAACCTTCAGGTAATGAATCTAAGTACTCCCTCATCAGAACTTGCACCCTCTCACGGTAACAGTTGATAAGCTTGTTGTGAAATTCAGGCTTTGATTCATTCCAGATAAAAATTATATGTTCCTAAAACCATTAAAAAAGATTAAAGACTATTAATGCAAGATTCAATTTGGTCCTTGGTTTACTATCTTCCTTTTGTTTCACATTTATTAAGATTCATCGACATACACAGAACAGAAAGAGCTGAACTGAGGATAAAATTGACTTTCAGCAGCTGTTAATCTTTCAGTACATTTTCCTTTACCTGACATAAGGACGAAGGAAAACAGCCCTGTAAGGAGGAATAATTTGACGATGCTGATGTCCTAATATTTATTTTGTTCACATAAAAGGTGCATTTTTGACCCCGCTTGATACGGGCACCTTCGATGGGATTTGACTGTAGCTTCTAGGAAGCAAGACTACTTACCAAGTATCTAATAGTCAACTGTTTAGCATTCTGTTCTATGTGAGCCAGCACTTTGTCCCGAGGAAGTCCTTCTACTTCTGGTAAATCCTCTGTAAATATCTGACAGACAAAACACGAGGTTCAAGGATTCCTTTAATATTTCCTTCCACTACTAAACTGCAGCCATTTAAAAGTACCGTGGAACCCTGCTTTATACGGACACTTTCTATGGCCCCCTCAGTGTCCGTAATGGCGGCGTTTGATTGTAAAACCCAAATGTTGCAAACATTTTCTGATGCCAATACATTCATTCTTGAATTACAGTTCCTTCAAATACTGTTCTTTGGATGTTTAATACGACTAAGAAGTTATGCAAGATGTTACTAGTCAGCCTCTCTTGGGGTGTGTGTTTGGGAGGGGGGTGTGTGTGTGTCTCCTGCTCTGGATTTTGTCCAAGTTTGCCACTGAAAACAAGAAAACATGCTCAAATCAACCCTTACCTTCAAACCATCATCAGGATGAGCTTTCAATACCCACACGGAAAAATCAAAAATAAGTTTTAAATGTTCATGACCTGAAAGAAATAACAACAAAAGAAAACACCAGTTGGCAATGAATCATTGAATTACCAGGGCTGTCTCCAAGGCCAGACTAAATCAATCGCTAGGACACTTGACTGCAGAGTAGGAGGTCACGCGTTTGATCCCCGGGGCCGGACCAATATTCAGGGTCTTTAAATCACTTGGAAATGAAGGTATTGCCTTTGCCCTACAAACAGCTAGACCTTCGCGTGGTTCGTATGACGACGTAAAATGGCGGTCCCGTCTCCAATAGAACACTTGGTTACAGTGGCCTCAAGTAATACTTCAGTTAAATACTTTAGTGCTAAATTATGAATGTAATGACTCTCGAATTAAGTGTGTGAGTGTGTGCGTGTTTTTATCGTTATTTTTTCACTTTGATTTCAAGTTGCTTGGTATAATGCCATTAGCAGAGTGTTCATTAGGCATCGGAGATCTACATAGAATTCTCCGACTAGCGTTCGATAGCTTATGACTACTATTTATTAAGACGTGGAGCCTCTTTGCTTTCTCCCTGCTGCTACCAGAATTCTTAATGAAAACCCTGCATTAGTTGGCAGGGAAATGAATAGCACGGAATTTCTTTAATTTTTGTTTTACCTAAATGCTGCAGGTATTGAACTGTTCTCTGATGACCTCTGAGCTGACTGCTGGATTTTTGAGCTTGCCTTAACAAAAGATCCAGTGCTAAAACATAAAACACCAGTTATGTAGAACGATGCTGAGAAACAAAATAATTATGATAGAAAAAAATATCTTCCTATCCTTGACTCATGGCCAACAACACTGTGATGATGATGGCGAGCAAGAATGGTGCAGTGGTGATTGCGCATGTCCGCTCCCATCAATCATGTGGCCAGACTTAAGTGGCCAGACCAGGTTCAATTCCCAGAAGCCGCACCATATGTGGGTTGTGTTTGTTGTTTGATTCTCGCCATTGTTCTGAGAGGCTTTACTGTGGGTACTCCAGTTAAACCCTCCCCTCAAAAAGCAGGCGTGTGTGGCCGAGCGGTTAACACCACGAGCTCCGGAGGTCCGGGGTTGACGCCTCGCCCGTCGCGTTGTATTTTTAGACAATTAATTTTACTCCACTTTGTCTCTCTTCACCCAGGTGNGGAAATGAATAGCACGGAATTTCTTTAATTTTTGTTTTACCTAAATGCTGCAGGTATTGAACTGTTCTCTGATGACCTCTGAGCTGACTGCTGGATTTTTGAGCTTGCCTTAACAAAAGATCCAGTGCTAAAACATAAAACACCAGTTATGTAGAACGATGCTGAGAAACAAAATAATTATGATAGAAAAAAATATCTTCCTATCCTTGACTCATGGCCAACAACACTGTGATGATGATGGCGAGCAAGAATGGTGCAGTGGTGATTGCGCATGTCCGCTCCCATCAATCATGTGGCCAGACTTAAGTGGCCAGACCAGGTTCAATTCCCAGAAGCCGCACCATATGTGGGTTGTGTTTGTTGTTTGATTCTCGCCATTGTTCTGAGAGGCTTTACTGTGGGTACTCCAGTTAAACCCTCCCCTCAAAAAGCAGGCGTGTGTGGCCGAGCGGTTAACACCACGAGCTCCGGAGGTCCGGGGTTGACGCCTCGCCCGTCGCGTTGTATTTTTAGACAATTAATTTTACTCCACTTTGTCTCTCTTCACCCAGGTGTATAAATGGGTACTGGCGACCTATTGCTGGGGGTAACCCTGCGATGGACTAGTATCCCGTTCAGGGAGGAGTAGCAACGCTAATACGCAGGCTTCGTGCTAAGGAACCAGGATAACATCCGACCGTTTGGGCCTTTGGCTCGTGTACGGCTTTACCTTTTTGTACTAAAAAACCAACACTTCCAAATTTAAATTCCGTCAAGAATGACAAAGAATGTGCTGCCTCTGAGTCATAATTAATGTTTTGTTTTGTTTTGTTTTTTTTTTTTGGCAAAAGAAGCCGCCATGTTTTTTGCCCTTCTTTCACAAAGCCATGAAAAAAAGAAAACGAAGAAATATCTTTGGCTTAAATAAAAGACCATTTGCAAAAAATCAGCAATTTACGCGAAATGAAAAAAAAAAAATCCAAAAGCATCACTTAGGGGATTATTTCAGTAGCCTCTACATTATTCTAGTTGCAGAGTCCAGTACCCCCACACCAGAGTCAGAGGATACCTTTCTTGTGAAGACCTTTTGTCTGGTAAAGAATCACCAATTCATTATACTTTTTGCTTTTCATTAGAACTCTTTCACACTCTTCAACATGACAGTAGTTTTCCTTCAGTCTCAGTAGCGGAGCAACAAGAGCATCATTTGTCTGCAGCAAAACAATCAACAAAGCCTACTGAAAACCTACAGGTATAGGAATGCAGCAAATAAAATTACATACCGAGTATTCACCACACTCATATAAATAATACAGCATGAAAACGCTGTGTTCAATGTCTACATAATCATAGCACCAGTTAATCATGTGACCTCTTAACAAAAACGTGTAGATAGAGAATGCTCAATTAGCAAGGAACCCAATTTGCAGACCAATGCAGCATGATGCATGATGAGTGAGCTCAGGTTATAAGCATCGATAAGGTTAAGGTTTAAGACTTTGTACGAGAGTGACAAAGCCTTGCCACCCAAGTAAATTTTATATCGTTAAAGAAACGGATGTCGTATTACTCTGAGAAAAAGCAAAGCAATTAAAAATATATAATCACAACAAGGAGGCAAGATATGAGGCCTGTAACATGGAAAGGAGAGATTTCTTAAGACAGTTTGAAAATTTCAAAATTTAAAAGACTGCACCATTTAATTGTTGCGCAGCATGGGGGAAACTACCGACAGGAAAAGGCGGTAAAAATGTTTAGGGCCATGCAGGAAATAAGATTTCTTAGGCTGTGAAGAATAATTTGTAAAAAGACCACTGCGAGGTGATATTTTGCGAAGACCAGGCATGAGGAGTAAAGAAGATGAAGCGATGATTAGGAACGAGGGAAGATTTTGAAAACAACAAGAAATGGAAAGTTTTAAGCCTCTTGCTTTCTTTTCACTAACCTGAAGGTAGCATTTTAGAAGTGTAGTGTCAATAATCTGCCTTCTGTGCATGATGTTCTTCTGAGTTTTTATATCAGCTGAAGATAAAATGAAACTAAAATAACCACATGACAGCCTACAGAAGCAACAAACATACATCTTAAGAACAGATAAGATACAACTACACAGTAGTTTCAAAAAGGCTCAAGATACTGTCTACATCTTAGGACAAAACAGATGTTTATTAGTCAGGCAGAACTGACATGTTTCATCACTTTCTCCCCTGTGATTAACATAAGTTGCACTGATTCTAAGATCGTGTTCAAAATTACTTTTGCCTCTGAGAAGCATTCAAGTAAGAAAAAAGGTTTTGGGGCCGGAAAACGTTTCCAAACCATTTTTTGTAATCATGATAATTATACAGACTTATATACTTCTTTAAGGCTTCATAAACTATATGCTTGGTTATTGTTATCTATTGTCCACGACTTTAATTTTCATTCACTTTCACTCCTTTTTCTTTTCTTTTTTTTTTTCTCTCCCTCTCTTTAGTTTATTTAGTTTTGTGCGTATTTATTCTAGATCTTTTACTTACAAGAACTTACTTTATTCTTGATTAAATTAGTGTAGTTAATTTAATTACTGTGTATGTAATTATTCATAGGAACTAGGGGCCAACAAGATAACATTAGTTTACTTGGCCTCTAGACACCAAAAATTATATTCTAACCACTAATAGTAAGCAGGAATAGTTAAAAGAAGAAAATTTATCAGGAAATGTCATATGTGAAAGGAGTGACAAAAAGTGCTCTCCAAAAAAATTTTTTGGCCCTTCAGGCCTCAGTTCGGTCTAAAAATGAGGGGGGGGGGGGGGGGCCCTCCCTGGCCCCCCCCCGTCGGGCAACCCCCGGCTATAAAGAAAAAATGTAAATTTTTAAAAAATTATTCCCCGTATCTCATTTAAAAACATGCCAAATAAAAAACTCTAACACACATGTAAAAAAAAAATTTTTTTTTTTGTGCTGGNTCATGCACAATAAGGATGCTTAATGCAATTGCAAGAAATAATGTTATTTTGTGGATCTGGTAAGTTACTAGCCTAGCAATAATTTTTTTATTACCTTCACTACTTTTCTCAGCAGTATCTTTGCTTCTTCCTTTCATCAAACTTTCAGCCTTGTCAAGTCTTTTTATCAGATCATTTCTTTTCTGAGGAGAAAGTTACAAAAAAACTTGAATAGACTGTGGGAATTATATCATTTAGGAGAATATTATCACTACATTTTGTAACATCCATTACAAGTATCAAAATTTCTCTCGTGTATTGTGCCTTTCATGCCCCCTGGGGTGGGGGGGGGGCGGGGGTACTAGACCGATATTTGGGTATAGGTGAGCTGCTAAGGGTTTAAAAACCTAACCCTGTTTAGGACAAAAAAAATCCTAAAAATTAATACATGCCCTGTTTAGGACAACACCCTCAATTCTATTTCACTGTTTAGGCCGTAGAACAAAACGCATGCAGTCTTGTTTTAAAGCCATTTATTGGCAATTGAAATGGAGCAAATTCACGTTACAGTCATTGCTTTTGTATACTTCGAGTAGAAACAAACTCCATCAAGCAAATCAAATTTATCATTGTTCAAATACCCCGTTTATAATCAGGACAGACACACAAAAGTTTACCCTGTTTAGGACAAACTCATGCCAAATTATATACCCTGTTTTAGGACAAAGAAGACAAAGACCATACCCCTGTCCAGCAGCACATCCCCGCATAGTCCATATAAGGGAGTACACCCCTGGGCTTTCATGGCTACATCAATAGAGGTACTCTTTGGTTTACAAGTTAACTTGACAGACTCATTACCATTGTGGCTATTTCTATGAGCATTATTAAACTGTGCTTGGTCTTTTTTAAATTAATGTTGCAACTGTACAGTAATGAAGTTGTTAATGGTATCATACTCTCCTAAATCTGACAGAAGATTAACCGACTTACCGGTAACAAGTGAAGGCATAAAAATTTGACAACACCCTCTGAACCCAACAAGGAGCAAAATGATACTGCAGTCTATCTATTAATTATTTTTTCCATCATTCTCCCTAATGCTTAGTCTGCTACAAAGAGTGTTGCATGACAACACTAAGAGCAACTGTGTAGCAGACTACCTAATGCTATACATCCCTCAATATAATTATTTGAAACTAGGATGGTGGCTTGTTATCGTACGCACTAAATCATGACCATCTTACTTTAAGTATGGGATGATCTGAGTCTTATGAGAAAAAAGGCGACAGTAAACAGTCTATGAGATTAAAGCATATTAAAGCATATGAGGTAAAGATAATAACAATGTGAGTGCTAGTGTTACAACTACTGGTATTTAATTTACCTTAACCCTTTACGCCCCAATATCCACATACAAATTCTCTGCATTGATCTTTATACATTAAGAATTTGATAAACAATCAAAGCATTTTCTCTCTGGTCAACCACTTTGTTCATTCTCCTAACCTTTTCTCTTGATCGTGTACTGTATTGTTAGAAAATTAATATTGATCTTGGTCAATTTTGAGATGTAACGGGTTAATGTAATAAAAATTATTATTAAAAGAGTATCCTCAAGAGCTGACTTTGTCTCTTATTTACCGAGTTCTCACCTGAGTGAGATACTCCACAAGTGCTAGACAGCCTTTCTCTAGTTCCCCCGGTGTTAGCGGCGGGGGAGGTGCTGGGTATTCAAGTTGTTTACGAAATTCACTTGGAAGGAGATCCGGAAAAAGTCCAATCACGTGAGTAGGATCTGTAGCAAAGAAATCAACATGGAGGAGATGTTAACAAAATTGAATATATCACAATGTATTTACAGTAAATTAGTGCTAAATTAATAGAAACCACAATGTAACAGTAATTATTATACTCTCAACCTGATGTAAGTAGTAAATATTCTTGCTAGAATTTGAATTTATTATTCACTCCAGATCAAGGGAATCTTACATGATCCTATTCAGTGTAATGAAAATTGGATATAATATAATAATATAATATTTTTTATTTATTAGGTGCAAAATAGCATTCAAATATATGATCTAATGCAAAATTGGACAATAATTTAATTGGAAATACCAACAAACAAACCCTTCAAAAGAAATACAGCATATGTAGAGTAAAATTCAATCATTCTAAACTATTCATCATGGCTGCCTTGAAAGAGGCACTTACATGCACAGTTCAGAAATCTGTCTCAATATCAAAACTTCCTTTTACCCCTTTATTACACCTGTACCCTCTATCTCCAATGTCTACCACCCTAGCATTGTACAACTTACAATATTGCTTCTGACAGATAATGAGAACATCAATCAATCAGTTTTATTTACTAACCTGTTTCCAACTGGGCAAAGAGTTGTAAAGAGTCATCAAATCGCTTCTGACAGAACATATCAAAGGCAAACAGGTTCTGAATACTCTCTTTACGTTTTGCTTTCTCTTCCTCAGGTTCAACAACCATATCCTGTTCAGAAAACAAACGATGCATTGATCTTTATGCTACCAGAAGCAAATGATATCAAATTCATTTAACAAAATACGAACTTTCATTTTCCGTCAATTTTTCACTTTTAATGTCAGATTAGGAAAGGTTTACATTTTCAATAGAAGGGAGGGTAGGGTCAACGCTTTACAGAGTGGGGAAATCCAAAAACTAGCAACATAAGCAAAGGTTAAACTTTCTCATTTGAAGAGGGAGAATCCAGCCTTTTTAAATATGTAAAAGGTTGGTTAATATATCAAGGAGAAACCAACAATTTAGAGAAAATGCAAGGGCTTTCTTTCCCCAGGGACAAAGCGAGCTGTCTGTAATAATGAGTTGTCCATATTAAGAGGGTGTCTGTAAAGTGGGCCAGGTTTGACTGTAATATTCAATATTCTAGACGGCATTTTTAGAGCAGTTTAATACATCATCCTATATCTCAAATATAATTTGTTGTCTTTTTTTAAAGTTCAAACAACGAGGAACAGGTAGGTGTTTTGGGTACAAAACTGTTATTTAGGTCACAAGGCTTTGATTTTCAGTTTAAATCGTGAACACACATGATCACATTACTTTCTGTTGTTTACACTTCAGAGTTATATTAAAGAACAAATCAAGTTCAAACTCTGAAGTGATTAGACTGAAAAAACTGGTATAAGTTAATGTACACTTCCCTGGAAAAGAATTCCGATACCCTAGATCTCAGTCAAAAACTCTTTTTAAATCTTTTAGTATTTTTCACAAACAAAAGTTTGCCTTGCTCGCAATTTTTTGTGAGAAGATTAATTATTATTGCCATCGGGGGGAGTGACACACTCAAGATGTAATGATGAGGGCTTAAACATTTTGTGACAACAACAAAAGATAGTTTAAAAAGCATTGTTTACTTACTGCCAACATAAGAGCAAGACTAAACTGCTTGTCCTGTAATAGCTGCTGTATCTGCATAGGTATGGAGACAGGAATAAGTCTCCAGACATGGCTTGTGGATGCCACATACATGTGCTTGCCTTGAGTAATATACCTTGGTTTAGAAAGTTCAATGCTTTGAATGAGGGCACGTGGACTGATTGTTCGTATTTCAACATAGCGAGGAAGTAGACCAATGACATATGGCTCCACATAGTCTGAAAAAAAGTTTCAAAAGTATTCTGATTTGGAGCAATCACATCCCAAACAAATTGGAAATCACACACAACTTGAAGAGAAATACAAATTGTACCACCATGACAAAATTTTCATGGTCTACACTCTCTTTTCCACCATAGTGTTTGCCTCTAAAACCAATCAGTGTGCAAGAAATTGCTCAGTTATTGTAAAATGTGTATTAAACAGCCCTTACCATTGAATTATAACATTACCAGATCTTATCTTACCTAATGCTGTTGGTGTGTCTGACCAAGTCAATGTTTGTTTCTGTGTTTTTTTCCCCTCGCTGTCAGTAATGATACTCATGTCATCACGACATAAGATAAGTTCTCCACTTGGTAAAGTAGCAATTGTAGGTTCCAAATGTCGTCCAGTTGAAAACAGTTCAGTCTGCGCACCTGTGTTAGTCTACATGAAAAAATAAATGAATAAATAAAAAATGTGTTATAATTTTGCATACTTGAACTGCATAACCTTGAGGGTACGGTGGAATCCCAACAACTCAAACCTTCACTAACTCAAACCAAAGTCGATTTCCGCAGGATTTCCCTCATACAATTAATGCAATTTTACCCTCAGTAATTGTGACCTTTGAAAGTAATTTTTGTTTTCCTATAAGGTTTGAGTTATCGGGAGTCAACCGTATATGTATATCCAAACATGCATGCAATAACTACAAAAAAAATACATAGAAAGCCACAACTTGTAAGTCTGAAAAAACTTGTATTTCTTATTTTAAAATGATACATGTAAAGTTGTGATATGAAGACACAATTATAAAGTAACCAGAAATAAAACCAAGGGGCACTTAACTGCACAACATTTTATTTTCCATTAAGTCTTCCTTAAACATAAAATTATTATATCAAATCCTCTTTCTCATAGGGGGGAAGGATAAGCTGTTAACTACTATCCCAAAACAGTTTTTTAAGTGGTATGGACAAATAACAAAACCCGCCTCACATTAAGAACAAAGATGTTTTAGAAAACCTAAACACAAGAAAGAGAACATCAAGAAGGAGTCTATCAGTTATTTTGTTGAAAAATTGTGAAAATTATAAACTTCAGCCAAAATTTACGTTCTTAACTTTTCAGTGAATGGAGAGTTCGATCAATACAATAAACNGGAAATCACACACAACTTGAAGAGAAATACAAATTGTACCACCATGACAAAATTTTCATGGTCTACACTCTCTTTTCCACCATAGTGTTTGCCTCTAAAACCAATCAGTGTGCAAGAAATTGCTCAGTTATTGTAAAATGTGTATTAAACAGCCCTTACCATTGAATTATAACATTACCAGATCTTATCTTACCTAATGCTGTTGGTGTGTCTGACCAAGTCAATGTTTGTTTCTGTGTTTTTTTCCCCTCACTGTCAGTAATGATACTCATGTCATCACGACATAAGATAAGTTCTCCACTTGGTAAAGTAGCAATTGTAGGTTCCAAATGTCGTCCAGTTGAAAACAGTTCAGTCTGCGCACCTGTGTTAGTCTACATGAAAAAATAAATGAATAAATAAAAAATGTGTTATAATTTTGCATACTTGAACTGCATAACCTTGAGGGTACGGTGGAATCCCAACAACTCAAACCTTCACTAACTCAAACCAAAGTCGATTTCCGCAGGATTTCCCTCATACAATTAATGCAATTTTACCCTCAGTAATTGTGACCTTTGAAAGTAATTTTTGTTTTCCTATAAGGTTTGAGTTATCGGGAGTCAACCGTATATGTATATCCAAACATGCATGCAATAACTACAAAAAAAATACATAGAAAGCCACAACTTGTAAGTCTGAAAAAACTTGTATTTCTTATTTTAAAATGATACATGTAAAGTTGTGATATGAAGACACAATTATAAAGTAACCAGAAATAAAACCAAGGGGCACTTAACTGCACAACATTTTATTTTCCATTAAGTCTTCCTTAAACATAAAATTATTATATCAAATCCTCTTTCTCATAGGGGGGAAGGATAAGCTGTTAACTACTATCCCAAAACAGTTTTTTAAGTGGTATGGACAAGTAACAAAACCCGCCTCACATTAAGAAGAAAGATGTTTTAGAAAACCTAAACACAAGAAAGAGCACATCAAGAAGGACTCTATCAGGTATTTTGTTGAAAAATTGGAAAATTATAAACTTAAGCCAAAATTTAAGCTCTTACCTTTTCAGTGAATGGAGAGTTCGATCGATACAATAGACATGTCAAAAACCAACAATCAATTTTTTTAGCCAGATTTGTCACCCATGAAATTAATAGGTAATCAAAATGGTATACTCATGAAATTTGGGAGTAATTTCACTTGCGTTTTGTACAAATTCAATGACTGATAATAAGGACAAAAGCAAATGAAATTATTCCCTAATTTCACGTGTCACTATTAGATTACAAAGTCATACACATAATACCTTTATAAGTGAGTATTCTCTTTTAAAACCAACACAGAGAGATTCTTTTGTCCATACAACAGATCTGGCAACATCTGGTAAGAATAGGTCTTCACCTTCTTGAAACTCTCCATTCCTCCAGTTAAAAAGCTAGGAATTAAGAAAATTGCATACAGTTTAATCATTGTCCAATAAATGTTTACAAAAGAACCCATGTCAAAACTGGTTAAAATTTCTTTTTGCTCAATATATAATAATTGTTAGGATATATAGTAAATAAGACCCCTCATTTGATGGAACATACATTGTAATTAAGTGCCTGCACTACAGGTATCTGCTCTACAGGGATGTCCACAGTACAGTACACAATCCCCTGTTGACATTACAAGAAATGTAACACTTACTTGTAACTTTCTTTTGACTGCTACACATAACTTCAATTCAAGAGGTGGAGAAGGATCTGAGAACAAAAGATGAGATCTTGATTATGCCAAGCTAACATGAAAAATGTTTAACTGTACTTGTATCAACGACTCAAACAAACAATGAATTATCACTGATCACACAAGGAGATACGCTGTGAGTGTCACCAGTGATCATGAACCCCTTTTGTAGACTAAAATAATGTGAAGAAAAAAATCGCTGAGTCTTGCTGCTATGCAAGCTTGACTAAAAAGGGTAGTTTTGAAGGGCATTTGAATGTTTCCCCATGATAATTTGACAGTATCATGATTATATTGATACCATAATGCATTAACCTTTCACCTAATTTTACTGCTTAACTAAAACAAATTTAGTTTGGTTTAACCAGCCATTTCATCTTCAACAGGCCACAGTGAATTAGAAAATGCATATGTTTCCAACTTTTACAAAGAAAAGCCTATGCATGGTTGCTACAGGTGAGAAAATGGTCAGGGAAAAAATTCTTCAAGGTCGGGGAAAATTCAGGAAATTTCACTTCGAGTCAAGGAAAATTTTATCTTTGAAAGAAGTCAGGGAAAAGCCAAATTTTAGGAGCACATATTTATTCTTTCCCTCTACTTTTATTGTTTTCTAACATTTAGAAATCTTTTGCACATTTAACAGACATGAATCATATTGTATTCAATTTGGTAGAATATCATTCATGAAATTGAACGAAAAGTTGATGTTGGGTTTACAAGAAAGTCAATACTTTTTACACGTTAAGTTAAGGAACTACAGTAAGGCCATTTATATGAGAAAAAAAATAAGACGTGTCTTAAATCAGACGCAAACTTTCTGTATAAATGGCACGTTTCGTCTAAAATAAGACGTGACTTTAGCTAAGACGCATCTTATTTTAGAACAGCCCTTAACACCTGTTCTTAGATGAGATGTGTCTTAGCTAAGACAAGAAAAACTTTGTATAAATGACCTTCACGTCTTATATAAGACAGAAACGCAGAGTAAGTACACAATGTTGGATTGCCGTTGCTATGGGCAACATCCACATGAAAACAAGTCAAGAGCAGAAATAAGACGAGAACCATTTATACGAGCTGTTTTCGTTTTAGATTAGACATGCTTGTATAAATGGTACAGTTCGCGTCTTAATATCCTTTTATAATGGCCTTAGTGTATGAATAATTCATAATTATTCATGTACACTGCATGTGACTTGCCAAAAGCATAAATAGAAGGGTGAAGAAGATGGCTGTGAGGGGAGAGTTGAGTCCATTATCAGGGCTTATTTGTGCAACTGTTCAGTTAGCCAGGGAAATTTTACATTTGTCAGGAAAAAAGTCAGGAATTTCAGAAACCTCTGGCTGTGCTTGGCAACCATGCCCTGGAGGTTTGAATTTCAGAAAGTCAACCTAGTCTAAACACCACAAAAACTTGGTCCCCTCAAATACAAAAATGGGAACAAAACAACTTGTAGTCAAGAGAAGCTATGTAGCGACAAGAGAACAACATACCAAATACTGACGACTGTTTTCTCTCCTATTTAAATAAAATAAAGAAATACAAATAATATGAATGATGCTAAAGAATGACTAAATGACTAATCAACTGATTACCCATTGATTACTTATTGATTACCGGTACTCATTGATTTCATTGATGTCATTGGATAGTCATGTCTGGTAGAATACAGTCAACTCTCACAAGCCAACACTGGTACTCTTGATGCTTAACAAAGTTGCTTATAATGAAGGGTGGTCAAGAAAAATTATGAAAATAAGGTCAAACAGAACTGATTATTGTAATTACATGATTAATAGTTTATATATTAACTTTACAAGTTAAAATTAATCAAATAGATGATTGGCAAATCAATAACGTTTTACATAGCGTGGTGCTCAGAACTGTTAAAACTTTTTACATAACATTTTGCATCGATGTAACAATGGCCATTTTCACACTAAAGGCCGATTATCTGTCTCCGACAGTTTATCCATTGGATAATGTGTGTAAGACAAACAATCAGTCTTAATGTGAAAATGGAACGATTTTTATTTTGGACAAATAATGTCTGACTTTAACTATCTGTTTATCCATCAATTTTGACAGACTTTGAAGATGGATTATCCATCTGTGTGAAAATGGCTAATCCACTTTTTTATCCACAGATCTAATTACAGCCTTTTTTTCTGAGTCAACTGCTTTAATCTGTCAGCATGCTTGGTCACAACTTTTGTGCAATTCAGCAATGGTTTTCTTACAATCATAGGTGATCATGGCTGGTGGTCGCTTACCAGAAACAGAAAACAAAAGAATATTTCAAATTTCTGGCCTAAAAAGTGGTCACAGTCATTTAAGAAATTTAGTAGTACTCGCTTGTGAGAGAGAGTTTTTAAAACAGTATTTAACTGAGAAACAAAACAGTCATTTACAAAGTGGTTGCTTTACAGGAGGTGGCCGCTTACGCGAAGGGGTCGCTTTGATTACATATCTTAAAGATATAAATTATGTTGAACAACATCAAAGTTGGTCATTAAAATAATATAATTATACAACCAAAACAAACCTTAATACTGACAGCAAAAACTGTGGCTCCTTTTGTTTTGTGCAAAGTAAACTTGAGAGCAAATGTTTCCAAGTTATGAACACTTATCACAGCATCTGGAGACAAAAACAGTGTCAGTAAACTTTGGGATAAAGTGTAATGAAGAGTACAAATCCACATTTCATGTATAACTGGGCAGTCTAAGCTGCAAAAAGGTAAGTCGGTGGTAAGCTATGTACATTTGTGCAAAATTTACCCTATGTTTCTATCTTCCTTCTTTTAGCACAACTCATGAAATGTTCAGCGGCATGCATTTTATTGTGTGAGAGGGGACATTATTTCTGTTGCCTTAACAGGGAAACCAGGAGAGCTGTTATGATCAATACGAATAAATGCTGTTTTAACAAACAATCAATCAATTATTGCTTGGTATTGAGCACGTTTTGAAGTAATATTTATGATGTGTTTTTTTATGTTTTGATGTATTCATTATCACAAACAAAAACAGCAAATTTCTACTTAGTGTCATCCAGATTTTTTTAATCCACATTGGGAAAAACAAATTGTCACGAAAAATCAGGAAATTTGAACATTGTAAAATTACAGTGACACCCCAGCAGTTTTAGTTCAAATTACCAAAAATTTAAAAAACTGAGCGATTCAAGAAATAAGGATACTACTGAATATCTTCATTTGCTTGAAAGGGACGAGTTTGATTGTGAATTACTGGACGGTATTCAGGCTTTAAGTACAGTGGCATGTCAATGTTGATTGATGAGAAGAATTCCTTGTTAGACATTTAGTTTGAAATCAGAGCAAAAAATTGGTTTTATCAACTAAGTTGACAAAGTAGATAAGACAACATAGGGGGATTACAATGCTGGCGTTTTTAGTGCTGGCCCTTGATAAAGAGCATTAATCAAAAAAAATTGCAACCGTTTTTCAAGGACTTTTCAAGGACCACATCAGATTTTCAAGGACCACCTACTATATAGGAATATAACTTCACAGATTCTACAAAAATGCAAAAATGAAAATATGAACTATTTGCTTCACCATCTTCTCTACATTTTTCAGTTCACTTGTCTTAAATTGATAGTTAATCAATATAATATTATAGATTTAGCCAGGGCTAACAGCGGAGCTCTCGATAATATTTAAAGTTTGTGCAAACAAAATATAAATTCTTGTAATGCTAAGCCGCAAAGTCAAGGCCGGAAAACGGTGAAAAACAACAATAGGTCTAACTAGCAAAAAAAGCAACTTTGCAAGTGCAGCATACTTTTTTTGTACATTTCTTTGCCATTGTTTTGCACAACTACAACGTGAAATTTCCAGAAACTTCTTAGTTACACGTTTTTTGGAGGAAATGTAATACAGTATGTGTTCTCGTTCACTTTTCTTCATTACCGCTCATTTTCACCTTGCATTGGTGGCCGCTAGCATTTCTCATTTTGTCACCACTGCTACAAAGTTTTCATGTTGTTCTTCCAACAAAAAAAGGTCTCCTTTGTTTTTTTTTTTTTTCTCATTGAGCTTCACTGGCCTGCTGTCTTTCTCTTGCTCTATATTCCAAATTTGTGGACAAGACAATTTATTAATCTAAGCTTAATACTTTAGACAACATGGACCGTACAGAAACAATTTCCGCTTTCCCTTTTCATCTTTATTGACTCTTTAGTTGTCTCTGCTTTACAAGATGTGGCTGGCTATGCGATTTCCCACCAAAATAACCTCAAGTTGCATTTGGGTTGCCACACCTGTTGTATGGGTTATTTTACACTGGTATGCCTGTGATGCGGATGGACGGTCGGCCGTGTGGGCGGTGTACGGTCACATGATTACCAAATTATCTAGGATGGCTAGATTTACTTACTAGCTATGGCGCTCCGCACACGTGCGCATGGAGCTCCGCTATAATTATTGCATAAAACATTGAGCACTTTGTGTTAAAAAATAACCTTTAAATTCTCTGAGCTATGATTCATATCCTGTCTTGGACAACCAAAAAGCATCAAAAAACACTTTCCAGGCCACTACATTCAAAGTTGAAGAAAATTCAATGACTTTTCAAGGACTTGCATAGAAATTTAAGGACCTTTCAAGGAAAAATGGAATTCAAGGACTTTTCAAGACTATGCAAACCCTGAATTTGTTCAATGAAAAGTATTCATTGACTTAGAGGGGATTAAGAGTGCCAATTTGAAATTTCAAGTTTTGCTCTACGTCTTTGCAGCTTTCCATCTTGCCTTTGTGAAGAGAAAGAATGCATGTTTTGACTGAAATGATTGGCATTGATGGGGTCAAAGGTTTGCTTCAGTCTGCCTGTCCATATGGAAACTAAAATAAAATTGAAATGACTGCTCATGGCACAGGGTTACCCACCTGATAAACTAATCAGCAAATTTAGTTGTTCAACAACAGCTAACTGCAATATAAAAAGTGTATACAGTCAACTACGGACACTGAGGGGGCTAATATATTATCTGCATTACGTGGGTCAGGCTATTTAAGTAAAAAATAAACCTTTTATTTGTAATGAACAAAATACCCAGAGTAGTCAATCAATAGAAATCTGTATCAATTGATGAATCGATAAATCGATAAAAATCAGTAAATCTGATTTGACTGATATCGATTGTATTGATCTATTGATAGAAATCGATGACACACTCGTTTTGGTCATCGACTTATCTTGATTTTTACCGATTTCATGAATTTATATGGAAAGATAAATCTGTTCATCCAATGCAATGAAAACTGAATCAAGCAAACGGTGAATTTGTTGGCAATTGAGTTGCAATTGAGAGTCAAAGGATCAAACAATATTATTATCACTTTTTAAAAAAGAATCATTAAAAAATCTTATCTTTTCATTAAAACCAGGTTTAAAATCTTTTTCTGGTGGCTAATATTGGCCAGGTTTGTAGGCGCCCAGTTTTTCACGACTTAGATCTACCACCCTCTTAAAATATCGTTGGTGTAGTTCCAGGTTAAGATACACCCCAGCATAGCTAATAGGTAAAAATCGAAATAAAAAAAAATTGTCAGCAATTAAGTGATTTTTATCGATTGATAACGGAAAATGGTGAAACCTATCTTATAATCTAGGGCATTCGTTTAGCATGAATTTCGACTCGAAGGGATGTCTGAAATTCAGGCTATAGGAAATCTTTATCTATGGTTGTATTAATTTCTCTTGGCATGATGCTTGCCTGGGAGCTGAAATTATTAAACGTAACTGTTTCTGTTATTATGTACAAAATAAAAGGTTTTTGAGGGAAAATTGTGTGTGTCACACACTGTAGTTTCCACATTTCTCATTTTCAGGTTTGTTGATCAGTTTTACTTGTGGATGTGTTTTCTCAGCTGTACTATCTAACTTATGCCAAAAAAACAACAATGGCAGACTTACGTTAAAAATCGTTACAATCATGAAAGTACATAATACCAATTTGACAATTTTGTTTATCGATTTTCACCGACTTCCATTATCAATCAATAAAAATCACTTGATTGCTACTGATTTTTATCACTACTCTGGGCAAAATACTAAACAAGTAACACAGGACACTAGCAAATACCTATCTAACCATCACAAAAGCCATCTTTCTATGTCCATGGAAACACTCAAAAATAGCTCATTTATACATTTCTTAATCAATAACTGGTTATTGTCCAAACTTGATCTAAAAAAATTATCCTCCCCAGTGTACTTTACTGCTAGCAACAGCAACATGCTTGATCAACTGAAGTTTTTTGTAACTTCAAAAAGGAAGGTTTATTATGGCAGACATTTGACATAGAAGTGTCCACATTAGTGAGGTTGACTTTTGATAAAAATTTGTTGATTGGGCAAGAAACAAGTGTCTGTTGTCTACAATGCAAATTAACAGGTGTCCGTATTAAGCTGGTTGAATTTAAAGAAAATGTGAGGGCTTTCCCCAGGGACAAAGAAAACTAATAATGAGGTGTCGGTATTAAGCAGTTGTCCATAAAAAAGGTTTTGGGTGTACAGTATAGTAACAGTATTATCATCATAAAGGGAGATTCAGTAAACAGAGAATTAAAGTACATGTACCGTCACCACAAGAAGAACATAAAGTACATTTATACCTGCAAAATTGGTCTCTTTGAAAACAACTTATTGGAGCTTCGCAACTCAACTTCAAATCTATTATCACCTATTTGTGAAGTAAACAGAATAATTTAAAATAATGCCCGCACAAAATGTCAATTAAGTAAAGTTNGGGAATAATTATTAATTTACCAAAATGGAGCACCACACTGATTTTTCAAAGAACCAGAAGATGGTATCAATTCTTCATAAAGAACTAGGACACAAAGTGGAAATGCTCAAGCATGTGATGTTAGAGGTCTTGCAACCAAAGATCAAAACAAATCCAAACTCCCAGCATATGCAGAATATCGGATAAACCATAGTGGATCAGTCCATCCTTTATTAATTTGGTAGAGAAGAATAAGAAGGGAGGGGAGGGGGGAGCTTAAAAGAGATGGTAGGCCTTAAAATAAACTTTCTTCCCCTGAAAAGAGGTGGGGGGGAGCTTATTATAGAGGGAGGCTTTTTCGAGGGGGGGCTTCTTAATAGAGGATTTACGGTATTTAGCTTTTAGGTCTTTGCACACTTGAAACTGCCAAATTAACAAGGACCCTTTTAAACAGAATTAAGTCGAGCTTGCTTAGAAATTATATAAGAAATGATGAGGGGATTAATTTTACACTGTCTACACAAAACAGGATTTCCTCGCTCAAAGTTTTTCTAGTTCTACTTTATCGGAGGTTGAGTATTCTTCAAGCAATAGAATTTGTGGATGGAAAAAGAAATGCTTGCATTTTTTGAGTCTCGCTCTGCTAAAGCAAACTCAACTAAATATTGATATTAATTTTATTATCTTTTTTCTCTAAAAGAGAAGGCAAAAGTCAGGTGCTCATAAAAGGAAATAAAAGGATCTCAAAAATCTGGTTTAGGATCAAAAGGGGATTCCCTCAAAAGGCCAGTGTGTGACAGTACAAGTATTTAACTCTGGATTTCAAGTGACATAACTTAACAGGGATAATCAAAAGATTTTTTTGGGTTTCAAATTTTTGATTTTGGGATTTCTTTGGGCGAGAAAATTTTGGCAAGTCATTTTTTGGGTAGCTTGATTTAAGTAGGGGATTTTTTGGTTATTCAAAACTAATGTCACTATTTTTCATTTTATTCCATTTAATGCTTTCTGGAATTTTTTATGGGTCCGAAATTCAGCATGGGATTTTTGGGGGGCTAAATTTTGGTCCAGGGATTTTTTTGGGTTTTGTTTGAAACAAGGGATTTTTTTGGGTTTTGACTTTTGCCCCCATTCGAACAACTCTGTCATATGAAATCCAGAGTACCCCCGTGGGGTGATAGTAAGGAGCAAAAGCAGCGAAGTTGTTAATTTCACATCTCACCACAGTCTAAAGCCAATGATATACAGATACAATGTATTATTCTTCACCTGTGCCATCTTTGACTCCATATAGAAGCAAGTGACCCTGTCTTGTTCCCACAAGAAGATTGTCACCTAAAAAATACATGGAATTAAATGGAATTTGATATATTTTTTGAAACTGTATGTATAAGCAGGCAGGATTAAAAAAATTTACTATTTAAGGGAATGTGCAGTTGACGCTATCATAGCATGTAGGTCAAAAGTGTTGGGACTTTACTGACAAAATGATATAAGGGAGTTTACTTGTAAATAAATGTACAACAGGGACAGCAGCAAAAACATCACTAAAAAGGTGAATTCGCATAATTCATACTGTTTAAAACTTCATCAAACTTATTCCATTCCACTCAATTTGTCAATTGTTGGGGAATTCTTCTGGACTTGAATTCGAAAGGACAGTGTTTAAGTTTAGAAAAAGAACACTCTTGTGTGTTCACAAACTCCACAAATGTGAAATTAGGATGTTTCAGGCCACAGCTGTGAAGTAACGGCTAAGAAATGTACAAAAAAATGATGCACGTATAAACTCATTGTTTAGCTGTTATATACCTACTGTTTTTTGCTGTTCTTGTAGCTGTCACAGTTGCCCTTGCTTAAGCTCCCTATTGGTAAAACTGGTGATCCCCCACCCTTCCACTCCAAATAATGTTAAACTTCGAGCAAAATGGGTGGAAAAGAGTTTTGGGTAAGACATTGCTGAGGGAATATTACACTTGGGCCACCTGCGATCTAAACAGTGTTACTTTATAGCAGAGAGGGCCATAAAACTCAGATTTGGACCACTTCATTAACATACTTACCAGACAATAAAACCTCAAGGTGGTAGAGTGGCCGAGTGGTTAGAGCGTTAGACTTGCAATTCAGAAGGGCCCTAGTTCAAGTTCCACCCTGGCCGCTAGCTGGATTTGTTCACGGTAGTCCGAGTTCAAATCCTCAGCCATGCTTGTAAATAGCTAGCTGGTATGCCTCCTGCCAGTTGGGATTTATAACCCTGTTATACTTGGGCACAACTTGTTGCTCCCCAAAGTCAGAACTGAGATGGCAAGGAAGTCTTTTTATTTTAATGGATCTAAACTTTTTAATAATATTGCAAGTGAAATGAAGGATTCTAAGTCAGTTGTGATTTTAAAACTCATATTTTGGAATTATATAGATCAAAAGTTTTTTAGTTACTTGTTAAGTTTTTGTATTAGTTTAGCTTTTAAATGCATTTCAATTGCTGTATTTTAGCTTTTTTCGACAGTTTTTTAATCTTGTTGTATTTTTAACTTTTAGTGTATTTTTAGTTACTGTAATTTAGGCTAGTTTTATATATATATATATATTTTATTTTATTTTATTTTTTCCAGGGTCCTCATTGATAGCAGCATTTTATGCTGAAGAGATAACCCTGGCTAAATAACATTTATTATTATTATTATTATTACTATCATTATTATTTAAACTATCTGTTTCATGCATTTGCTTGGCTCCACTGGCATTAGTGCTATAAATACTTAGTTCCCACAAAGTTTAAATAATGAGCCTATCTGTCCCTTGATGAATAGTTTACGCTGTAGATTTAATGTAACCTCCAATAGTAAACATCTCTGAAGCAGTGCTGAGATCCTTGTTCTGTACCCCCAACAGACTTGACAAAGATCTAGAAGAACGTTATGAATTTCCTTTCATACTTATTGGCAAATACAGTCAACCCTCGCCTTGTGGACATCCTGCTATAACGTACACCCAGATAATACAGACAGAAGCTAAATCCCAAGCAAAAAAAAACTCTCGCTAATAAGGACACTAACTCGAGGTCCTTACAGTGTTGCAATGTTGACAATGGCTTTTTTAACAAGCCACTCGTGGTGCATTCTCAAATCCTGGTGCACATGTGGAGGCCAAGATAAAGAATTTCAGCACTGTTTTGAAGACGGACTTAAACAGGTTTATTATTCTTTGTGGTGACGGCTACTTGATGGACTGAGCCAAATCTAACATGATTACCAAAATAATATAATGACTAATAAACTGGTATTAAATAAAAGACTGCAGATCAGAAGAGATATTTCATATAAAACTAACCTGAAATAAATTGATTCAGCAGGCAACTTCTATTTATGTAAGAGTATAGCTTATTAGCATTTTAGACAGGAAAAAATGAACGAACCAAGCTAACTAACTTTTTACAGCTTTTCAATACAAGTGGCCCACTGTACATTCATTTTAACTCGTTCATTTCTTACCGAAGGTAGCAATGCACTCTATTTGGAGTGGAAGCTTCTCCAATATAACAGCATGTTCAAAGGCATCGTGCATTTTTCTAGCACTGTAGACTCATGAGCTGAACTAAACATGTTTGTTCCTTACATGGCTTGAAGATTCCTCGAATCTGCAGTCATTTGAGCCTGCAGTCACGCCACACAAACTTTTATCCTTTTCTTTGAATGACAGTATGAACTTTGATTAGAAGCCTCGTACCTCGTTAAAATTAATTTCTAAATATGATATGCCTAGATTTCCTTTGGCATTAAAAATTTAGCTTTTTGAAATTTTGCAAGTTTTCAAGACCATGAGATAATGTGAGGGTGTGAAGAACGAAATTCG